ATCTGCCTGCCTCTGCATCCCAAGTGCTGGGACTACAGGCGTGTGCCACCACGTATTGTGAAAGCCTCAATACATTCCAATTATATCTCTTTAGAGTCAAAGGAAGTAATTATATCATTAAGTACGAGCTCCAAAGTTAATCATCACTGTTTAAAATCTCAGTGTACAGAGATTCAATTAACTTCTGTGGAAAAGTGAAGTTATTGTAAAAATTGACCACTTAGCATTTTGAAAGAAGCAGTCTTTTTAGCTGTTCAGCATTGTCAATGAGACCTACAAAGCAATAGGTGCTTCGGAAGTTACCCAACTTTGTTAGTGAGACAAGATTTTCCCAAGGTAAAGAACTCTCAGTTCCAAACACAAACAACATTGAGATCCAGAAGTCCTGCAACAGGATACTAATTTTACATATTTTATTTCACTTAATATTTCCAGAAATCTATATTGTAGCCAGGCATGGTAGCTTACACCTTTAATCCCAGCACTATGGAGGTAGAAGCAGGTAGGTCTCTGTGAAATTGAGGCCAGCATGGTCTACATATGGAGTTCCAGGCCAGCGGGGGCTACAGGGAGTCCCTGTCTCAAAAACAATCTACTGTTTAGTATTATACCTCAGAAACTTGGATTTGACAAAGAGGTAATTAAATTGAGTAAGTTAGGACCCTGGCATCTGAATCAGAATCAGCTTCTCTGCTGCTGAGGTCCACCTACGTCACCTACCCAGCAGTGCTCTTAAGACATAGACCTGGTAGGGTAAAGCAAGCAAAGCAAAGGTTTGGTTTCATAGCTCCAACTGAAGGTCAGCTTACTTAATGATCTGATTCCAACAGTGCTGCAATGATCTCCATATATGGGCAATTCACTGGACAGCTATTTAAACATGACCATCACCAAAAATTTTGTGATGAAATAGTCACCATAAATTTATAGGCATCAGGACCTGTGAGATGGCTCAGTGAGTATAGGCACTATAGGCACTTGCTACTGAGCTTGACAACCTGAGTCTGATTCCCAAAACCCACATGGTGGAAGGAGAGAGCGATATGAGTGGCACTTGCATATTCTCTCTCTCTCTCTCTCTCTCTCTCTCACACACACACACACACACACATTTTTTTTAAATTGTGGGCATCAAAAAATCAGTATCTTTTTTTCAGAAGGATGAGACATAGCTGAATGAGCAGAGCACATAGAAAAGCCAGGTAAAGAAGAGTTCTCATCAGTAAAGAAAAACAAAATCATGAAATTTGCAGGTCACTGGATAGAGCTTGAAAAAGTTATGCTAATGAAGCGATGCAGACTAGGGAAGCAAGGGAAGTATGTTCTCTCTCATTTGTGGATCCTGACTCCAAATCCTTAGATGCGAGTATACTATTATCCTGCTGTAACCACAGGAGCAAGGAAATTGGAAAGGACCCATGGGGTAAAGGAGAAGGAGTTCAAGAGATAGGGAGAGTAAGAGACAGGTATTATCAAGAGAAAAATGGGGAAAACTTTAGCTGGGGATGGAACAGGGAGTGCTACAAGAGGAGAGGAGGAGAGATAGATAATGCTTAGGTGGTGTGAAAAACCAGAGAGAAATGTATTAGTTCAAAAGTCTACTGAAAAATACACATAAAATGTATACACACGTGTGTTTATAGCTGAGGCTATATAACAACAACAAAAAAATCACAGTGCCAGACAGAGGAAACATCCCTTCAAGTTGCTGATTAGAGTAGTCCAAGAGACTCCTCAAATAACACAGACTGTTGCCATAGCCCTTGATTGCCTCCCAGAACTTGAAGGTAAGACCCTATTGATGAAAACAGGACATACTTTTGACACAGGACTTAAAGCAAGTGAGCTGTATGTCACATGAAAGCCACCTCCCTGAAGACTAGCTTTCATAGTATGATACTATTCAAACTGCCAAGGTAGGAAATTAATCAATGATCCCATCCAGCTGTAAGGTCTATGAACCACACTGATGACTGACCCAGAAAATAATCTCTGTTGGTACAGAAGTGGTGCTTTTATGTGAGGGAAAATCAACAGCTGTCTAATTTGACTTAAGGCCTCTCAGTGGGAAAGGACGCATGTGTGGTTCTGTAAACAGAGCCAAATACACATGCTGGAGATGTCATAGATCCTAGAAAAACACCTACATTTGCCACATCCCTAAACCAATGCAATTTCTTACTGTACTCTAAATATGCATCCTTATATTTATAGATAAGTATACCTCTCACCACTCATCAAAGAAACTTCTTTTTGCAACAGATGGAGACTATTACAAAGTCCCACAACTGTTCAAATACAGAAAGTAAGGGTTTGGGAGGTGCCCAGCTCAAAGTGATCCATCTTCAATTCAACTTCTATACCTAAGGCACAGGGAACATTGCAGAATAGAGGAAGGAAAGATTATTAATGCCTTTCTCAATTCTCATCAGAGAAGGTTCTTCATGCAACAGTCGGTGATTAACCCAGAAAGCCCCAATTGGTCAAAGTACAGAGAATAAGAGACTGTAGTAACCTATATCAAACCTCTACCACCCAAGGCTCAGAGATGATTGAAGAAGAGGGGACAGAAAGACTGCAAGACCCAGAGGTGGTAGACGACCACAGGATGCAGTTTTCCAGATAGTTGGGAAATTACACATATGAACTCAAAACAATTCTAACAGCATGTACGAGATCCACACAAGCTCAAGTCAGACAAAAATTCCAGAATAGAAGTGAGGAACTGGGAAAGATGTTCCAACCTTAACTGAGGAACTATTAACAACTGATAACTAATGGGAGAGGGAGAATCAATTTTCTTTTAAGTGTTTGATGCTAAATAGGTTAATCAGGCCCCAGTGGATAGATGCACACAAAAGGACGTGTCGGGACACAAACTTGATTTTATAAGCCTTAATGCATATGACAGAGTACAAGAGGTACAGCAGGGGTGCTATAAGAGGAGTGCAGATAGGGGCATCTAAATACCATCAAAATGCATTGTTGAATTTGGCAACAATTCAATAAAAAAA